TGCCAATTTCCAAAGCCCTTTCCATGTCCCATCATGACTTCCTCCCAGCTCCCCAGCAGGCTTATCAATGCTTCACCAGCTGCACCCTTGGCACAGCCCCGGGTGCCAACCCCCTCACCCAGCAAGTGAGGACCAGTTCACTGCCAGGCTTCCCAGTTCACACGGCTGCATGAGGCCGTGTGCAGAGGCGGTCACATGCGTGGGCTGAGAGCTCCGCATTCCAGCCCCTTTGGACCCTGTGTGTCTCTGCACACAGAACCTTGCCAGCTCAGACTGAAGCCAAGTGTTAAACTGTTCAAGCCCCACAGCTGTCCTAAGGGGTGGGAGAAGGAGCTCATCATGGCACCTGGGATCTCAGGCCAGGAGCACACCTCTGAACTCCCGCCCAGACCCCAGACGGGGGAATGTGTGGAAGGAGAGGTGGAGGGAGAGGTGCCTGGGGGCTGGGTATTTGCGGACCAGCTGAACCGGCACCAGGCAGAAATTCCATTGGCATACAAATCACCTATGGGTCTCATTAAAATGCAGGTTGATTCTGGGCGGGGCTTGGGATTCCTCCTTTCAAACAAGCACCGGGCGCCGCTGACCTCGGAGCACACACGTGGGGAGGGAAGGGCCAGACAATCGGGCCCAAGATGGAGAAGACCTACCTGACTCCACTGGACTCTTCGTGAGCAAAGATAAACCTTTGTTGGGTCAAGCCACTGAGCTTTGGGGATTTGTGACCTCAGCATAGCCTAATGTCCCCGAATGACACATTAGGATAGGGGACTGTCCTATGTAGTCAGGCCACCAATATTTACTGAGTTGCTGCCATAAACTCATTTTGTGCCCCAGGGGCCTCCCTCTTCAAGAGGCGCTCACTCTCCGGTGACGCAGTGCAAGGCGGGCACCTGAGAGGGAGAGTCCCTTAAAATTTGCTCCTTGGGGCATCTAGGAGCACCCCTTAGTGCACCATAATCCCAGCACTGTGAGTCATGGGGGAGCCGGGATTTGAAGCCAGGACATTTTGACTTATGAGGCTATGTTTCCTTCTGGTAATGCAAAGGGGAGACAGGCTCATTCTGGGATCTTATCTAGCGGGGTGGCTACAGCAGCAGCCAAGAGACTCATGGGTTCCCTGGACTGTCCCATCCCTCCAGCACCAAACTCAGTGGTTTGGAGCCCAACCCACTCGCACCCGGTCAGCAAAGTGGCAGTTCCTGCCGCAGGCTTTCAACACTCTGAACTGCGTGTGGAAGGCTCGTCTCTGACACTTTCATCACCAAATGCCCCGATGCCAGCCTGCGTGCTTCCAGAACTGGCCAGGCCCCAGGGCCTCCCCTCCCTGTCCACACGCTGCCATCCCCAGTTATTAGAACAAGTTCCAAGCAAACAGCCACACTCTGACTCAGAGGGGCCCGCCGGGGGAGGGGTGGGTGGCAGGATTTCCACTCATCTCTTGTCGCCTACCTGGCTGGCGCTGACCCATGCCTCCTTCACTCCCCCAGGACCCCACGGCGGCCTCACCTCCCCACTGCCTGTGGAGGCTCCCCCTCCGATGTTGCCGTGAGCAGCTCCTCCCCACACGGAAATCCTCCTGTCTTCCTTCTTGCCTCAGCGAGAGAAGTGGTTCCACACCGCTCCTCCCAGGAAAAACTAATCAATGCTGATAGAGGTCAGAATAGCGAGTACCTGGAAGGGGCATGAGGAATCTTCTGGAAATGTATCTTACTCTGGGTGGTGGTTACATGGGCATGCACACATGCAAAGAGTTGTCGAGATGTATACTTCACACTAGCACGTTGCCCCTCGATCTAAAAAACATATGCCACAGAGAGCTCTAGGAGCCGTAGCCAAAATAAATAACACAAACCACAA